GCCACGCGATAACCACTCCGCCATAGTGCCAATTGATGTTAAACACAGACGGAGCAGCATATATATTAGGACGTGCTCTCCTTGAGATCAAGCACGCATGCTCGACACTGGCAACAGCCCGACACGGGTCGACATCGGCAAGGCAGACATCGAAGCACACACGAAAGCAAAGCGGGTGGCACCTTTTGATTGCGCGGTGGGGCCTACAAAAAGTACTCGACTGCCTCGTGCTTGCCGTTGGCAGTGGGGCCTCCGTTGAGGTTGTGCTGGTTGGGACCGTCGCGTTCGTTTTCCGGAGCGGCCTGGAAGGTGTTGAAGTGTTTGCTGCCGTCGGGGAACACCTCGAGGATGGACGCCATGTTGCCGCAGCGGTAGCAGTAGTTGGGTGCGCTCCATACCGTGCTGAGGCGGTCGTCGTAGAGTACGCTGAAGCCCTCCATGCACAGCTGGTGTGCGCGCAGGATGTGGTTCATGTTGTTGCGGTGCAAAAAGTGCTTGACCACCGACGCTCCAAACGTGTAGCCGGCACCGCGCGGTGAGATGGCAAACTCCTCCTTGTCCGGATCCGGATCCGACCACACCAGATCCGCCATGGGTCCCTCGTGTGGGATCTCGCGGAAGCGATCGATGATCTTGATCTGGTCAATGTAGTGCACCGAGGGCGACAGGCCTCCGTGCACGCAGAAGATCTGGTCGTCAATCACCACGGACAGCGTGAGAAAGTCAAACATGTCGGTGAAGTACGTCCATACGTTGGCCGAACCGTACTTGCGCTGGCACTCGGTGTAGAAGCCGTACGTCTGCGTCACCGCGCGCGATTCGTGGTTGCCTCGAATCAGCTGCACCCGATCCGGATACCGCAGCTTGAGACACGTCAACAGCGATATCGTCTCCACCGAAAACAAGCCCCGGTCCACATAGTCGCCCAAAAACAGATAGTTGGTATGCGGAGCGTAGCCGCCGATCCGGAAGATCTCTATCAAGTCGTAAAACTGGCCGTGGATGTCGCCTACCACCGTGACGGGCGCCGAAATGTGCACCACATTCGACTCGCGCATCAGAATCTCCTTGGTCTTTTCGCAGATCTCCTTTAGCAGCGCCTCGCCCAGCAGCTGCTTCTTGAGCAGCGTCGCAATGCACGCATCCAGATCGAACGCCATCCTGCCCTGCCCTCGGAACGCGCCTGCGCACCGTAGATGTGCTGGCCAGCCCCGTCACTCTTCTGCCGAGTCGCGATGCTGAATCGAGCGCAGAGAACACCCTAGACAAGCGCGTCGTTGGTCCAAGGACCGGTCCAGTAGTACACTAGCTGCTGAGTAGTACACTAGCTGCTGAAATGAACCAGAGCTGCGTAAGCGTGTCTGCGGACCGTGCCTCGCTCAGCGAGTTGATGAAGCGCTTGAACGACTTGTTGCTGTTCCGCTTTTGTCGGGTTTGCGCCGTGATTTGTCTCCGTGGTATCGTGTGCGCGAGCCGTTTCAAAGTGCTGGGGGTATCGAGAAAGGCTGCACTGAAGCGGCGGGCTGTTCGGCTTGATTGCGAAACGAACGATGGACTGGCGCTGGTTCTGAATTATGCTCGTCGTATGGCAATCCGCTCCCACTGTCGATGCGTACAAAGTCTTTGCTTCTGTCGAGTGGTGAGGCGAAGAGCGGCCAGCGTCGAATGCCGGCGATGCTGAGAGTGGAGATGGCAGATGCAAGTGGTGGCGCGTTCGGATCTGGTGTGGAGCGGCTCCCACACCTTCTCACCAGTGCAAGCCCGCTCGAAAGTCCGCAAATTTGTTACATCTCGCTCTCGTACATCTCGGCGATTTTGGCGCCCGTCGTAGCCCACCCACGACCCCCTATCGACACAATCACACCCCAGGATGTGAACTACGAATCATGCTGAATTGTCTTCGGGCACAAAGGTATGAACAGCCACAAGGAGCGTGCAACGCTCTCTACTAGGCGAAATCAGAAGACGAGAAAACACCGACCAAGAGTGTTCGGGGGTGCGAATGAGGAACAGTGAAGACAAAGAAGAGATGGAGATGCACTGAGAAATGACTGTAAGCTGTCACGAGCGCCCGCACCACCGCACCCAACAGGCAAAGCCAGTCGGGCGCATATGGCACAGGCGCTACGAGACGGGTATGTAAGAAGCACACGCCGCCGCTTGTGCGACAGCGTCGATGCTGCTTTTTAGGCCGAGAAAGAGTCGCCACATCACATGACATAGGCGCTGGGCACGACACCGGTCTGGCCCTGCGTGTTTCTAGCGAGCCACCAGTGGCGGTCCTGGTCGTCGAGGATCTCGATGGGTTCGCCCGCCGTCAGCGGCAGCTCCGACTCGTGGTTGGGCACAAAGTCGTAGCGCGCGTGCGCGGGGATGCCCTCCATAGGCGAGTCCTCTTCGTCGCCTGCCGCTCCGATCGCCGTTGCAGCTACGGCGCCCGTGCCCACCATGCCGGTCGCGATGCCCGCCTCGGCGTCCGAGAATCCGCCGTCGTCGGTGAGGTACTGCGTCTGCACGCTCTGCCCGGTGCGGCCACCGTCGCTGTGGTAGTTGGACATAGCCGCCTCGTCGCCGAGCCCGCGGTCGTAGCCTGGCGAGCTCTGTCGACTGCGAGCAGCCGCAAGCGCAGCTGCACCGCCCGCTCCCGCCGCGCCGAATCCGGCTGCGGCACCAGCACCTGCGCCGTGCTCGCCCAGCATGGCGTTCTCAGTGGCGGCATTGAGCGTGGCGAGCAAGCTCGACGGACGCTTCTTCTCGCCCACACCGAGCGAGTCGTCGCTTGCCGACACGGGCACAGCCACGTTGCGTGGCTCGGGCCGCCTCCTCGCCACGGCCCAGATGAGGCCGAGCAGCACGAGCAGGAAGACGATTCCGAGACCGATGGCGATCGAGATCAGGATCACCAGTCCCACCGCAAGGTGATGCAGGTTCGGGAAGCGCAGCACCTCGGTGGATCGGCTGAACGCACGCACGATGCCCGACGATCCATCCAGATTGGTGGCGAGCAAGAAGGGCGTGTAGCTCTGGCCGTCGAAAAACACGCTCGAGACGTTGCCGTAGTCCTGGGTGGCAAGAGCACCGCTGACTACGAGCAGACGATTGTCCTCCAGGATGGCGTTGCTCGGATGCGCCTTGGAGATCGGCACAAAAGTGAGCTGCGAGATGCCGGTCGCGGGCAGGAACTGGCCGCCGTCGACGGCGGTGTACTGAGTGCCGTCCCACCTCACGAGGTAGGGCGAGTTGCCATCGGCAGTTCGGCCTGCGACAAAGATGGCATTTGCGTTGAGGTCGTCGACGCTGACCGCCGTCGCTGGGCCCGGAACCTGTCCAGAGCCGCTGCCGACGCTGCCGAGGTTGGCCCACATCTGCGTGTCAAAGTTGTAGCTCGCAAGCGACGACTCGGCGCCGTTGATGGTCATGGAGCCCGCCAAGATGAGTTGGTTGGCCTTGCTGCCGGCAAAGTCAATGTCCGAGATCTCGCCGCTCAGACCTGCGCTCAGGGGACTCCAGCGCATCGCACTGGTGTCCCACAGGCACACGTTGAGGCAGGGCAGCGAGCCGGCAGAGGCGAAGCTGCCAGACACGATGACGGTGGTCGTGTCCGGGCGGTGATCGATCGAGGTTACGGAGAGCACCTGCCCAGCACTAGCAGTGAGTGGCGCACCATTGGTGACCCAACTCGCCTTCTTGAGGTCGTACGCCTCGAAGCCGCCGTCTCCACCCACATAGAGCATGTCAGAGTCGACGAGCAGCGAGCGAATGACAGACACCGCTGGCCGCGTCGCCGATACGGGCTGGGCAGGGAAGGCTGTGGCCGCGCCGGTCGAGTCGTCGTAGAAGGCGAGATTGCGAATGCCGTTGGTGGTGGTAAAGTTGCCTCCAAGAATGTTGACAAAGGAGCCGTCGTCGCGTTCCCAGAAAGCGCTGGCCAGGATCTCGTTCTGGCCGCTCGACTGGAGCGAGGCAGGCACCATGATGTCTGCTCGCTTGGTGAGGGACGGCACTTCGGCAGAGGTTTCGGCTTCCCGCGCCTCGAATGGCGATCGCGGGAGCATCGAGAGCAATCTTGAGCCGATCTTCGAGCCGGAAGCTGCGGCAGCTGCTCCGTCTCGACGCTGCAGTTGCTGCTGCGGTAGCTGCTGCTGCGATTGATGCTGCTGCCTCCAGCCAGTGACGAGATTCCTTCTGCGCGCATTGCTGGCCGACGACATGGATGCGCCAGCCGAGCCGGAAGGAGTGGCAAACTGGAAGTTGAGCGATTCCACAACGGGCAGGGCGCCCGACTTGTCCGGTGCACGCAGCTGCGCGGCGCCCGAGGCGGACTGCAGGCTGACGGCACGAACGCTGCCGGCGAGGAAGCTCTGCTGTGTCGAGGCGGAGAAGTCGGCGAAGGCGGCGGTCATCTCTGCCGAGACGAAGCTGGACTGCGTCTGCCAGCTGTTGGATGTCGAGTTCCACACGGCGTAGCCGCCAGACTGCCCAGTGCCGTTGACGGTCTCGAAGCCACCGGCAACGAGCAGCGTATCGGAGCCGAGAGGGTAGATGGCCGAAACGGCGCCATCGGGTCCAGCGCCGAGTGCGGACCAGCTATTGGCATCGGGGTCGTAGCGGGCAAGGTAGGGCGCAGCGACGGCGCCGTCAGCTGTGGCGGTGAAGCTGCCGCCGACGTAGAGAGAGTTGCCAAGGCTTGCAAGCACCTGGACGGGACCGTTGAGACCGCCATTGGCAATGGCGATGGGCGCCATGCCGGCCGAATCGGCCGCAAAACCTGCGAGGTTGGCGAAGCTGACGTTGCCCGTCGAGGTGAAGGAGCCGCCGACAAAGGTGCGCGTTCCGACCGAGGCGATCGAAGTGACGGCGGTGTCGCTTGCGTTGCTTCGTACCCCGTACTGGAATAGGGTGGTGGCGAAGGCATCGAGCTGGGTCATGCTGGTGTTGGACAGCAAACCGGTGCCGTTGGCCTGGATGGCGGTCACGGCGGGATCAAAGAGGTTGTACTCGAGCACGCCAAAGCCGGAGGTACGGCCCATCTGGAGGGTCTCGTTGCTGTTGAGCAGGAGGAAGCTGACCTTGTCGGCAATGACGGTGAAGTCGGCGCCGCCCGAGGGGGCAGGTGCGTCGCTGGGGATGGACAGGATCACGGTGGGCTGGAAGCCATCGGCGGCCTTGTTGACTTCGCCGCTGTAGATCTGGATGGTCTGATCCTGCTCGTTGGTCTGGGAGACGCGGGTGAGGTTGCCCTGAGAGCCCTGGACGGCAAAGACGTTTGCGTTGACTTCGGTGCGCTGACCACACTGACCGGAGGCGCGGCAGCCGGGGACAAACATGCTGATGGTGTAGTTGCCGTTGTAAGGGATGTCGACGGCCCAGGTGACGGTAGCGGAGTTGTCGGAGGCGAGGTTGGAGTAGGCGTCGGTGAATGCGAGCACAGGCTCTGTGGTGCCGGCGAGGGTGGTGATGGTGCTGGTGTACCAGCCGCCCTGGTTGGTGGCGGACGAGTCGGTGCCGTTGACGCCGCTCTGGTTGGAGTTGCACGCGCCACGGTTGAGCGCGTTGTAGGCATAGGCCCAGCCGCCCTCGGAGAGGAGTTCGAGGACGTGAAGACCGGCGCCAGCGCCGTAGTGTTCGGTGGCGGTGAACTGGACACCGGTCAACTGCTTGACGCCGCCGGGAGCATTGTTGGCGGGCGTGTCTGCAATGAGGAAGTCCTGGTAGGGGATGGAGGCGTCGTGGGCGAGGGTGCAGTTGGTGGTGCAGGTGACGTTCTGGTTGGTGGCAGGGTCGAGGTAGATGAGCTCGAGTTCGGTGTTGTCGGGGATGGAGACGATCCCGAAGGTGCGAGTGCCGCGGCCGTCGACAAAGGTGTTGCCGAGGCGAATGGCGCGCACGTTGAGCGCACGGAAGGCACGGGCTGTGAGACGACCGTCTACGCCGTCCTCGAAGAGGTAAGAATTACCGCTGCCGTCGGGACCCTGCGGACAGAGGATTTGGGCCGGGTTGTCGAAGCCGGCGTCGTTGGAGCTGGGGCCGCCGACGAACTCGACCTGGCCGAGGGAGATGGGTGTGAGGGCGGCGGTGAGGGGCGAGGCGGAGGTGTTGGTGCCCGAGGCGGCGGCTGCGTTTGGGCCCAGGGAAGCGAAGCGGGTGTCGAAGCTGCCGCCGAATCGGACGAGCGAGTTGTTGCCGCCTGGAGTGATGGTGTTGACGGTGCCGTCGAGACCGCCAAAGTCGACGGGATTCCAAGCGGACGCGGCGACATCCCACTGGGCGAGGTTGCCGAGGTATCGATCAGTCTTGCCTGCGACCGGACCCGAGAAGGAGCCACCTGCGATGAGCTGTTGGTGGTCGTTGTCGCAAAAGACGGCGTTGACGGTGCCGTCGAGGCCGCCTGCCATGTTTGTGAAAGCTTTGGTGGAAGGGTTGTAGGCGGCGATGTTGCTGACGGAGATGCCGCCTATGGAGAAGAAGTTGCCAGCGACAAAGACGGTGTTGGGTGACGACTGCATCTGGCAGATGGCACGGATGGTGCCTCCCTCTTCGGTCGCACTGATGAAGGAGACGGAGCCATTGGTGGCGCGGGAGAGGAGGGAGGAAGCGGCGGGGTCGTAGGTGGCGTTGGGGCTGGCGGAGGAGCCGGTCTGGTTCCAGAGCTCGATGCCTGCAAACGAGCCAGCGATGCTGACTGCGCCGAGGAGATCAAAGTCGATGCTGGGGAAGTTGGCGATGGAAGCGGAGGCAAGTGGCACGGCAGCGGTCAGCAGGAGAGCCGACTTTGCGACTGCACGCGCGAGCCGCGATGATGGAGAGGAGGAGGCATGCCGGCGTGATGAGTGGGATGTGGCGGCCGAAGCGCTGCAAGAGCTCGAGGCTGGCATGGCGGTCGCGAGTAGAGGTCTAGACGGGGACGACGCGAGAGCACGGCTCGGCTTAAAGGGAGTGCAAGGTGTAGTCGCAGAGTGATCAGAGCATCACAAGGCGCGGTCGAAGCTGGGGAAGGATGAGAGTTGGGGACGCTTGTTGAGCAGGCCTGGTTCGAAGCGATGACGGTAGCTGATCAAAAGAGTGTAGAGGTGATGCAAAGACAAGGGCAAGGGCGGGGAAGTTGCAAGACAAAGCAAAGGATGCCTTCGAGACGAAGCAGACCAAGAGGAACGCGCTGATCTCAAGATGGGCAAAGCCGAAGTGAAGCGTGACGGCGCAACGAGGCGAGACGTGCGAAGAGTGCGGAGAGTGCGGAGAGTCGTGTGGTGGCGAGGATGCGGATGCGGGTGACGATGAAGGTGAAGACGAAGACGAGGATGAGGGTGGCGGAGGCAGGAGAAGACGATGATGTGGAACGAAGGCTAGAGTCGGACGTGCGGTGGATGGCGTTGGCGTCGAGAGCCCAATCGCTACTCGGACGGGTCGATTTGCAGTCCACCAAAATTGCAACACACGCGAGTCAAAGGAGAAAAATCACGGGCAGCAGCTCGCGCTCTCGCTCAACCTCACGCTCAGCCTCGTGCAGTTGTTCATGCGCGCTCTCCCTACTGCTCCGACTGGGACTCTCTTCGGAATCAATTCGGATGGCGATGGCAGAGCGAAAACATGCTAGCAGCTCGCAGCTCACAACCATGAACTTTTTTCTTCGAGCCTCACTCGTGTTGAACCACATCAAGACGGAGCGGATGTGGTGCATGGGCGAGATGAAGTGTGCCGATCGCGCCGCCCACTTGGCCTCGAAACTCATCCTGGCTGGAGAGGAGGATAGGAGAAATAGGTGGGCGGCGTGGCTCGCTGCCGCTTTCAGCTTGGTTGTAGCTAAGTTAGCTCGGGAGGAGGCCGCGATGATGCTCTTCAGCGCGGTGCACTGGTCGAATTGCAGATCATAGCCAGTCGCAGCTGCAGCGAGCCGCGTTGGCAGAGAATGACAGACTCGTTGCCGCCCGACGACTGCGTTTCGCAGCGAGTGCGAGCGCCGGGCGTCGAAGGATCTTTCTCTTGCATGCCGCCTGCACGCGCAACACCCAACAGGGGTCGCGCGCCGTAAACAGACTCTCTCTCTCTCTTTCTCTCTCGCCAGGGTCTCTCTCGGTTCGCCTCACGGGCGCTTGCTGCCGGCATGCGAGCTGAGACCAACACGCGTCCGAAATTGATTGCCTTGCGCACTGCCCAAAATCTTCGAATGGATCGGCGCGAAGTTTTGGAATGTTAGACCACAAGCAGTATTCTTCTTCGAAATTTCCTAGCTCCCGTGCGAAAGCAAGCCGATCACGGCGTGGCTTGCAAAAGCGCTCCAATTCATAGGCTGGAGGAGCCAATCGCCCTCGGAGCCGATCGAGTGGAGTGTGGGCTGCGAGAAGGAGCCAGGTCGACGGATTGATACTGTATCGCTCCTCCTACCTTGATCACGTCGACGACCGCTTCTCGCCCCACATCGCATCCGTCATGGTCGCCACACCCTCGCTCAACATGGCGCTGCGACGCGCTGCCGCCACTCGTGCGTCGCTCGCTTCCGCTTCCGCTTCCGCACGATCGCTCCACACCACCCGCACCGTCCGTGCCGGCGCCTCCTCCTCGTCCTCCTCCGCCGCCGCTGCCGACGAAGAGTACCCGTCCGAGGGCTTCGGCGCTCCCATCTGGCGTTACACCTTCCTTGGCGCCATCGCCGCTTTCGGCCTGTACCGCATCTCGACGCTGCACGCCGACCCGCACCCGTCCAGAGCCTCCTCGTCCGGCCGCTCCGCACCGGGCAACGAGTCGGAAGACGACCTGCACGTAGAAGGCCAGAAGCCGTGGCTGACGCGCTACATCGAACACTGGACCACTCCCTCCTCTGTCTGGAAGGAGCGCAATGCCAGGCACCTCGAACTCGTCAAGGAAAAGGCAGAGGAGCGCCTCCTCTTCCAGGACGCAGAACGCCCGCCCGTACACAGGTTGCGATACACCCAGTGCGTACCCGCCTTCGTCTTTTCCTCGCATATCGGCACCCTCACTGACCCCTTTCCCTTCTCTGTATCGTCGTGCGCCATCGCAGGATCTTTGAGCAGGCATCGCCTCACGGCATCGGCGCCGGCTCGCAAGTCGACCTCTCGGATCTCAAGATCAAGCGTGCATCCGAGTAGATCTTTGATATCCGCTCCTTCCTCGTCCTGTTGTACTCCAGCCTCACTCGCTCACCACCGATGCGGCTGGAGCACGTGCAATAGAACAGCCTCTCTCTCCGACCTTGCATCGCCATCCTCTCTTCCGACGCTGATACCTCTCTTTCGACGCTGATAAGGCATGGAAGCGCTTCGGCACACTCGCATCACTCTTGCTCACAACCGCAGCAGGCTTACAATTTCGCAGCTGGCTTCTGAGCGATCTCGTGCGCGGCTCGGCGGATCTTGGCGCACAGTTCTTGCGCCTCGTCATCGTCCAGCTCGTCGCGCCCGTGGCCGAGCCGCATGAGTGCAAGCGCATTCGTCGATGGCGTTGGCGTCGCCTTTGCGTCTGTACTCGCACGCGGGGCAGCAGGCACAATGTGGAAGTGCACCTTTCGACCTCCCACACACAGTATCGTCAGTCATGCTGGCTGCAAAGCGCTCGTGCGCCAAGGTCAAAGCAGGGCAAACTCACGTGAGGAACGAGTTGAGCGTAGATCTGGTTGGTGATCACCTGTAGTCTCTCATCATCCAACGCTGTGCACGAGCGCATCCAAAAAAGTCAGCGCCTGTCCTGCAACGGGCGATCCAAAACATCAGGGCAGTCAGGGGCGTACCTCTGCCGATGGCTTGCGTCGTGCGTACGAGCGCCTGCGAGAGCGACGCGGCGGTGGCGCCGTCCAGATGCGACAGCTGCTGCACATGCTTCTTTGGAATCACCAGCGTATGCCCCGGTCGCAGAGGAAGAATGTCCAGAAACGCCACGTTCTCCTCGTCCTCGTATACGACGTGCGCCGGCGACTGGCCCGCTACGATGCGGCAGAACGCACAGTCCTCCTGCATCTCCCGGCTCGAGTCGAAGCGCGCCAGTGTGTGCGACGTCATGGTGTCTGCGGGCCTACACTGCGAGCGGAAACGTAGCGAGCTGTTCTTAGACTTGGTGCAGTCGAAGAGAGCAGCGTGAGAAGCACGTCCCGGCTTTTATCTCCGCACAGTTGCCGGTTCAGAGGTGGTGGAGCGCTTGATGGCACCGGATCGGGATATCGTTGTGAAATGCAGCTCCGATGCGGGGATCGGCCTCCACTTTTCATTTCGCTACGTGGACACCTTCGACCCTACCCTCCTCCCACCACCACCATCGCACCCTAACCACACTGCATCTTGACTGCAAAGTTCGGCTACACTAGCCATGGCGTACTACGGCACCACACCGCTCTTCGCACCCGGGCCCAACCCTCGCGCGCCCGCACTGCCGTGGCGCTCGGACGACTTTTACGCCGTCGACGATCGCGTGCGCGGCGGCACGAGCCACTCGCACATGGGCATCGTCCAGTACCCGCCCAACAGCCGTGGCGAGATCATTTTCTCCGGCTTCC